GTGTCATTTTGACGAAGGTTGATTATCACGGTTAAACGACAAAAATCCAAGAATTCCTAACAACCCCAACGTTCCAGATTCAGTGAAAAAAAAGAATTGTACGGCGAGAAAATTTGTTCAGAAAATTTCAATCTTTATATAATATATATATCTTCTAAACTATTGTAATAATAATTTTTAGATGTACATAGAGTAATAAGTTTTCTTGATAGAGAATGTGGAATAATTGAAAAACAAAACTTTAATTAACTTTAATTTTAGAGAACTAAAATTAAAATCTTGGTGAATTTAGTCACAAGCAGAATTTTGACAATTTTCTGAAGAAAGAGTATCCGCAAAATCATCTTCGAAAAAAAAAAAATGAATTCAAAGTAGAGACCATATGATCATTTTTTTACAAAGTTATCGACAACTTTTCATTATGTCGTTATGCTCTTCGCTATACGCAAGTGTGTCTCCCTTCGCTGAAGATGCATAAATATTATAATCGTATAATGACTCGCATAGAGAGTTTTCTATACTATTATATTAAACAATTGAGATTCAACGGAGGTGAATTGGTGCATTAATTGATGCATTAATAAGTCGCTTAATAAATCGTGCACAACTGACCTCTGTCGGTAAGGAGGAAGCAGCGATATTAAGTCTCTCAACTTAGAACCGAACTAACTCGGTAAAATCGGTCAGCTATATAACCTCGCGTTCATTTCGCAGAAAAACGATTGCGCCGTTTTCTCACAATCGTGATGTTAACTGTAAACTACATTACGTTTCGAAGTTATGATCGTTGCTCGCAATTCTTTTGCCCCAATAAACAAATTTCACTCGAGTTTCAAGAAGCATCAGTTTCGAAGGCAGAATAAGAAGCGCGCGTAGGTTAGGTCTTTTTTCTGTGAATACGCGTCGGTAAATAGCACGTTCTCGAAGTGGAAAGATGGACAAGTGTAATAACACACCCTTTTGCGGTTGTTGCTCCATTTTTGGTCGCGACGGTGTTCATCGTCGTTAACCCTTTCACTAGAATACTTGGCTTAGAAAGTCGCTTGAAAATCGACTATTGTGCAAACCGTACGAACCGTTGCCCGTGATAATTCGTTATGCCAATTTCTCCGCTGACGAACGATCCAATTTACGAGCGACTCGCGTCGAAAATATTTATTGTTCCTCTGTTCGGCGTCGCTTTACTCGCTCATTATACAGGGTGTCCCAAATAACATTGTCCATTTTGAATGTCGAAAGTTGTACAGCGACTAATGATCTTTTTTGTGAAAAGGTGAAGAGATTTCCGGAATTTTTTAAACTTTAAAGAGCAATGTGTTTTTCCATTTGTTAAACAATGCAACTCGACAGTTTCTGTAAAAGGAATATTAACCTGTGTTGTGTAGGAAAATTATTTTACTTTAGGAAATATTTCTGTTTTAACTTTCTTTAAAATGTACGCACGAAAAGACATGAGCAAACAGCCCCCTATCTTAGCTTCTAAACTATTGTAATAATAATTTTTAGATGTACATAGATTAATAATTTAAGTAGAGTTTAAGTAGTTTAATAGTTTAATAGTTGAGTTTCTTTTTATAGAGAATGTCGAATAATTGAAAAAAATTGTAGAAAACTAAAATTAAAATATCTCTTTTAAACTAATAATTTCCCAACGTATATAATGATTTTTTTTTTTTTAAATAAGGAACGTCGAGCTGCATTAATTAATAAATGAAAAAAAACATACGCGTCTCGTTTCGAGGAAAAGTGGAGGTGACCTTGAAATCCATTAAAAAAAAAAACATTACTATCCCTTTATTTATAAAAACATAAAGTTTCTTCATATCTTTAGAAATAACAGAGATATTCAAGGTAGACAGAGTTATTGAGACACCCTGTACATACATACTCGCCAACAATACGTATAATTCCCCTTTTCAATGTGCGGCGAATGACAAGACCGCGAATACTCGCACATCCGAGCTTTCTCGGATCTTTTCGCCATCCAACCGAGTTTCATTTCAACTCGTTTCAATTTCACGCGCGTGTCTCAACTTGCACTGTCAGAGCTGTCCCTTGGCCTCTACAAGTGTATCCTGCTACGCGGTCGTCAGGGAAAGGTCCAGCAGTCACTTTCTCTAAAATTGTTTCTGCCAACTGTCCGGCTACCGTGCGACATTTTTCAGGATCCTCTTACACCTCTGGTTCTAGCCACAACATCCGCCAACTGTCGTTTATTCCTGAGATCAGCAAGAAAGAGATATAAATGTGTACGCGATTCTACCAATCGTTCGAAAGTGTTTTATTAATATAAGTTTTATTAACACATTAAAGACCGGGTTCTTTTTTTTTAACTTACCCCAGTGGTCGCGTATTTTCCCGGCAGGCTGTTTTTTTTTTTTTTTTTGCAGTCAACTATAAATGAGTTTATATCTTATCAACTTTTTATAATATTTATTTTGAACTTTCAGTGTTTGAATGTAAAATATTATTTCATATTATGAAACAATAATTTGCAATGCACGCATGAAATTACTTTTTATGAACTATAAAAACATGAAGGCAATCAAGTTTAATACATTGACTACTGATGTAAACACCTAAATAGTAGTAGATACAACGTATCAAAACAGATGGCATCTGAAGACAGCGTGTAGAAAACACGAGTAATCTCGTGATCCATCCATAACAGATGGCGCACGAAACAAACAGTAAACTCATGATCCGTCCGCAATGTCTTAATATATATATTCACGGAGCATATCTAAATTTCTACTCGACGATATCCATTTTAACTTGTGTAGACAAACTATGCCGTGGTCATGGAATAAGAAATACAGTAGTTCACATTTAAGCGTCCACAGTCGGGACCGAAGGTGGATGCTTAAGTGGGGAGGTGTATTCTGCGAATTGTGTCGAAATATCGGTATCAAGTATCATTCGCTTTGTATTGTGCAAGTGTCATGTTTCACACGGTCTTCGACAGGTCGCCACGGTAATGTAGTGTAAAGTGAGATAGTCCCACTTTCAAAAATTGATAAGGATAGCTTTATCAACCCTTGGGGCACACAATTTTAAAGAAAGAAAAAACTTTACCTGCATGGAATTGTTTTTTAATATAAAAAAAGTAAAAAAACATTTATTTCAATTATTAAACATAAAATATTTCATAAAATGAAAAGAAAAGTAATGTTTAAATAAGTTCTTTATTTACAGAGTGGGGTATAAATAATCCCACCATGCAACCAACGTTTTAAATGAAATTCATTGAAACACATCCTTAGGTGGGTTAAAAAATATCTCACCATGCATTAACTGTCAAAAAAAAAAAAAAAAAATGAGAATTTTAAACTCACCTAACCCCAAAGAGTTAAATAGGGAAAAGTATGGACTAGTGTAGTATAAATACAAACATTGGACATTACACCTTTTAAAATCAAAAAACAAATAAAGATCCTGACAAAAATAGTAAATAATTTAATAAATAATTTCACGAAACAACAAATAAATCGTCTAATAGGAAATAAGTTAAATTTTTGTGATACTCAATAACAAACCTTCGTTATTTTGACAAACAGATTATTTCTGAAATAACTTTGAAAAGCAATTTAACGCATTTGCCCTGGCAACTGATTGCGGACCATAACGAGTGACCAAACCATATACAGTGATTCGTCGCTTTCTTTTTGAACTCGTCGGTATGACATCACTGGATAGAAATTATTCAGAAGTGAAATAAATTTATTATTTGCTTTGCCTATTTTGTTTTACTGAAATACACTTAAAACTGAGAAAATATTACAATTTTGGAACAAAAAAATTCTCGACGTGCGGTGGCACGTGGTTCTCAGCGCAAGAGGTTAAATAAAAATAATGTTATTCGACAATTTTTCAAAACATCCAGATCTGATTCCAATACGCGACGATCAGTCCTCGGTCTTCCTGGAATATCGATTTACAGCGTGTGGAATCAGAGTCGGCTTTCGACCGAATCGGGTTTAAGATCTCTGTAACTTCTGAGAGGCTAGATCGAAGAGAGAGCGACGAATGGCGGTTGCGAAGCGCGCGGACTCGATGGATCGTATCGCGATCGGTGCGTTCGAGGCCTGGCTATAGAGTTACTACGAGTATCGCACGTACATATGTACGTTCGAGAGGTAAGTTTCACGAAAGGACGCGACGAGAAGGAGATTCGGTGCGGACAGGCGTGACGGGCGGACATTGGAAGAAAAGAGAAGAGAAGAATAGAGAAGGCTAGCTAGCTCGGTTAGCTAGCCGGGGAATCCGGAAAAAAGAAGAAGACGCTTGTCGAATCCCGGAGCGGTCGCACCGCGCGCTTCTCGGTGAATCGTGAAAGGGAAAGTTCTCGTCGTCGTCTCTCGTCGGTGGTGAATGGACGAGCGGCGGTTGCTCGAGTGCGAGTGTCAGTAGCGAGGCGAGTGAATCGGTCGAAGAGAAAAAGAGCCGGAGAGAGGAGGAAGTTTCGGTGGAAGGCAAGGATCCACAAGAAAAAAAAGAAAGAGGGAGAGAGAGAAATTGAACGGCCGAGCGAGGGGAGAGAAGAAAGGCTGCAACAGGCCACGCCATGACGGAAAGGTCGTCTCGCTGCCTGTCACCTTTTCGACGCGGTCTCGCTCGTTCATCGCCCGGGCGAGTTCGCGTGGGACCCGAACAGACTTCCGCTTTCCAAACGGCAGATTTCTGAGAGATCTGAGAGATCGCGTCGAGTCGCTCGCGAATTTTTCATAGACCCCAACCGGTTTACGATTATTCGTCAGTGTGACGAAAGTTTCTCGCTGTTTCAGCGATCGTTGCGCCACCTGTCGATTTTTGCGTCTCCCCTTTGAATCTCTCTCGGGAGATAAAAGTAGGGTTTGCTCGTGGAAATTCGTCGCAGATCGTACCACATTCTTTTCCCCTTCGTATTCTTCCACCTGTTTAAATTTTTCCATCCGCGCTATTGTTCCCGACAAGACGACAAGATAACTGCTTAATGTATTTAATGCGTTTTTCGTTTGCAGGTTCGTGTTGTTCAAACGTCACTACGACAAGTACGTTGCCCTGGCGGCCAAGTACGAGGAAGCCAAAGGCATCGCTTACTACTTGGAGGAACGTTATCACGAGGTGAAGGTACGTTGCAGATGTATCGGTGAGTTTTCATTCGCACAACGGTAATGGTGTCTTAATTGCCTTGGTTAGAATTTAGGAAAACCTGTAGAAAGCTAAGACTCGTGCTTTCGTATCGAAGCAAGAACGATTTAACGTGATAACATGTTAAAGTACGGGATTGGTCAAAAATCACTTTCTACTAAAATAAATCAAAAAGTAATTTTTTTGTTAATTTGCGAACGCTCTGGCGGTCAACATTTGAAAGAAATAATTTTTGAACACATAACGTTTGAATTCAAATTTAATTTAAAATTGATAAAATTAGTTTTTTCCTATATTTCGATATTTTCTTATATTAAGAAATTTTACTATTTCTTGAGTTCTTACATTTCTTTTTATATTTTTTATATTTCAATGTTTTAACAAAAAAAAAAAAAAAAAATAGGTGGGAAGAAACTTTTGGCTCACCCTATCTATAGTTACCAGGGGGAGCGTAAACTAGGCTTTGAGAACTTGCGGCGCAACTAAGTAACGCATACATAAATTTGTATAAGCGCTACGTAACGGGGCAATTAATTCTCGAGACGGTTGCAACAAAGATCCGAGTGTTTCCGCGATCTTGTTAGTCTCCTCGGTATGTGGTGGGATCCTCGGGATCCCAAGGAGCTCATGCCGCGAGTGAAATCAACCTGGCTCTCTGCCTGTTGCAATATCCTCCGTGTAAATGCGCGAGAGAAAACTGACATCTTGCACCATGGGTTATGTTATCATTTGGGAAAATGTATCGACGAGATGCTACTACCATCGGTTATCGGTTGTTGGAGCTTTTTCAACGTGAAAAGACACGTTTCTTATTTCTCTCGCCATTTCGTTGAAATTCAACCTTCAAATAGAAATGTCTTAAACGTGAAGGCTGTTGAAATATGTAATACATTGGTCACCTGTGATCAGAAATATGATTTTTCCTCGCTGATGATGGAGTTGTCATATATTTAATATACCTTGTATTTGATGGAGCTGGTATTTCGTCACTGTGTCATTCACTTTTATTCTTGTATTCAATATTTTTATATTATATATATCATCATATTCAATTTAATATTTAGTATTCAATATTCTCTATCCTTTATTCAATGTTCTCTATTCATATTCAGTATTCTTTATTCTTATATTATATATATTATCATATTCAATTTAATATTTAGTATTCAATATTCTCTATTCTTTATTCAATGTTCTCTATTCATATTCAGTATTCTTTATTCTTATATTATACATATTATATTCTTATATTATATATATTATATTCTTTATTCTTAACTTTTTATTCTTTTTATTCTTATATTCTCTTTATTTTTTATATTCCTTTTATTTTTATATTTAAAAACAGTTTTATTAAGAGTAACTGAATGCATCAAGGGACCACGATGGTCATACACCAAAATAAACGCATTATGGATAACAATCTTGTGATCTTATATAATCTCTTATATTTTCTTTAGTATTTTAGTTATTATTTTTTTTATTATATTTTCTTTAGTATTTTAGTTATTTTTTTTATTATATTTTCTTTAGTATTTTAGTTATTTTTTTTATTATATTTTCTTTAGCATTTTAGTTATTATTTTTTTTATTATATTTTCTTTAGTATTTTAGTTATTATTTTTTTTATTATTACTTTGTTTATTATGCTTGTAACAATGAAAATTCTTTTATTGAGAGCATCATGCACATCTGAAGCGTGTCAGTTACCTCGTTCGAAAGATAATTTTTCCTTTTCTTTCTTTCGTTTTTTTTTTCTCTTCTCTGTGAAACGTTTGAATATCCACGACGAAGTTCCTTCGGTGATATCACGATTTGAAGAATGTGCGTGACACAGTGTCTTCGTGGACACGTTCCGTTCTCTGTTTGAGCCGATGCCATTCCAGTCACCCTAACCGTACACCTTCAGACAAGATTTCCCACGTTGAGTGGGAGAGTCCGTTTGGCATTTTGTTTAGTTTAGGGCTTTCGCACGCTCTTCGCTCGTGACAGAGACACTTGACGACAGGTGGCTTCTAGACGAAGCTCTTGGACGGTGCTTTCTCGCGAGGAACAATCGGTTTCAGGCAGGGAAAACGGGAAATGTTCCATCCTCGTGTTCTCACCAGTTTCGTGCCCCGGTTTCGTTCCTCGAAATATCGGCGTGCAATTAACCGTTACCTACGACGAGAGCCGCCAAGTGAAGTACTTAACTAGTGCGACAAGGTTCAATTCTCTCTTTCTCTCGGAGATTCGACCCCGATCGAAGGAAACGAGCAGAATATAGGCTAAATAGGCTGTGTGATTGGATCGTTTTTGGAAGAGCCAAGAAACGACAATATACAGGGTGGTCACTTGAAAGATTGAATGATACAAAACAAAAATAACTTTTACAAACACATGTTTTTTTTTTTTATTATTTTATTATTTTTATTATTTTAATTTTTAGTTTTTTTATCATTTTTACTATTTTACTACTTTTAGCTTTTCAATCATTTCTATTATTTTAATTTTTAGTTTTTTTTTTTATTATTTTATTCGGAAATATAATTAATGGATTTTTCCCAATATTACGTGTGAAAAACAACATCCCTCAAACGACCAAGTTGTTGGATTCCGTGTAATGAAGTCAACGCGCTTACAATTTAGAAGAGTTTATTCCCTTACAGTCGTGGTCGTGTATGAAATAGGATGATATACAATGATTT